TGCAATCGGGGTACACCCTTACCAGGAATTGAACCGTGACCTCCTGGTTCATAGGTCAATGCTCAACCACTGAGCCATACCAGCATAGCACAGTAAACATTTAAAACTTGTGAGTGAGACTTAGGAAGGAGCCAGGAACTCTACCATGATTGTAATAATGATTAAAGTGCATCTGTTGAAATAGATGCTTTATAGAACAGAGAGTGAATTATAAATAATCCCAATATTTGGAATGAAATGTATTCTTCTCTTGTAGAATAACAGACTCCATTGGACCAACAGAAACCTCAATTGCACCAAGACAAAGACCAAAGGCCAACTCTACTACTGCCACCCCCAGTGTGCTGACCATTCAGAGTTCAGCAACACCTGTTAAAGTCCCTTTGCTTGGGGAATTCAGTAACCACAGATCAAAAGGTAATATAGCCCTGCCAACTGAAGAATTAATTTATAGTTAATGTAAACACACCTTTGATTTCCTAGGCATATAAATTACTTCAAACTTACTGTTGTGAAGCAGATAATGTAATGCTTTAAGAAACTTTCTACTGATGTCTAATAAACTCAATTATTTTCCTAAAGTTGTAGGACATACAAAAGTATGGTATACAAAGCCCACCATTTGTTTATCCTTAGTGTCATCAACTAGTAGGGTTTGAGGTTGATGATAAAGTTCAGGAATATAAAAATCCTGTATTGTATTGGGAAGGAGGAAGTTGGAACTCTAGCCTTACAAAGTTCTATGTCTTTGCACTGATCTAGAGCCTTGGCCACAGGGTCTGTCTTGGACTGTGTGGACAGTACAGCATAGAAATTTGTCATGTCATCTGGTTTTGAGAAAAATTGTTTTTCTAATATAAAATATCTTCTAAGCATTTTGAATCAGTACAGGATTTAAAAAAAAAATATCTCCCCCTTCCCCAAAGAAATATCCCTAACCATTAGAGAGTAAACTTGTTCTGTCAGAGGTTTGGGGATATAACTTGAAGGCCCATCTCAAGAAAACCCTCTCTGGCACTTTACTTCATGATATATGTTGTTTGGTTTTTTTTTATGTTCAGATGTTCTAAGTTAGATTACTCTAATGGTTAAGATCCCATATTTTAAAACTCATGAACCCGCATTTAACCCCTCCATTTTTTAGTAATATATGTTAGTAAAATGCTAATATTTCTCATAGGATTGTTGTGAGGATTAAATAACTGTTTAATACAATGCCTGTCACATAATATGTCCTTAATAAATGTTAACTATTAAATACTGTTATTATTATGAAGTAAAATAAATGCTTAGGGAAGGTAATGTTTATGTTACCTGACATATTGCTGCATATCTCTGTGGTGATCACGTATACCAGATAGAGTACTTTATGGGAGAGGGGAGGGAAAAATAGGGGAATTTGAAACCCTTTGTGTCCAATTCTCATTTTACCATTTCTTAATCTCACTGTTCTCTTTTATAAAAGGGGAATCACAACTTTTTCCTGTCATAAGGAGTAAATAACAAAGGTGTATGAATGATATCTAGGAAAATTATGTTTCATAGTAAACATTCAGTGTGTTATTTTTTCTCTTTTTACTTTTTTGGGTTGGAGATCCTATTAGTCAATTATGTATTAATGCCCTTCAGGCAAAGGCTACCAGCATCACACTTGTATTTGGACAAATGGGTTTATTACTCATATGCCATGGGGATCTGTGGGAGTGCCTCAGTAAAGTGGTATTTGAAAAGCCTTATTAACGGATCTAGCTTATGTTAGGTAGTTTTGGGGAGGCTATAAGGAAGTGGGGCTTTGCTCTGAATGGAAGGAGTTAGGAAGGGCGTGTGTGATATCATTAGGTGTCTTCATAAATAGGAGGAGGGAAGCCAAAGCCTCAGCTGAAGAAGCAGCCCTCCTCATGTTAGGCAGGATAAGGGAGGGTTAGGCCACTCTGTGGTATGGGCAGAGTTCCTGATTTTGTCAGGGCCGAGACATGGTCATGGAGTGGTCTTGTCCTGATCCACCATGGTCACAGAGGGCTTTGTCTGGTGTTGGTGTTGAGTGAAATTGCTTATGTTCATCTGGGAAACAAGACCTTGCTGTGAGTGCCAGGCCTGCTGCCTTCCATGTAGGGCAGCGTTTATCCCATGTGCTTCTAGCCTAAGCTGGAAAAATAATACTGTTTTCCCCATGTGTGCAAAAAGTAACAGACGGATCTATTCTTTTAAAATATTGAGACAGTACAGCAATAATCAGAGAAAAATGTAAAAAGTCTCCATTCTTTTTCTTCTTGGAATAAACTTGCAGCAGTTCAGTGTGTAGCCCGCATTTACTCTTATTAGTATTGGGATGAACATTCTTATAGCAGACTTTTGATTTACATGTCAGAACACTTTTCTGAGGAAAATGTTAAAAAAATATGCTTAATTAAAATGTGTTAGATAATGCCAAGTTGCTATCTGAAAAGACTTCAAAAATTTACACTACCGTCAACAGTATGAGTGTCCTTTCATTCCTATTCTTGTCAACAGTTGGTAGGATCAGTTTTTAAAGATGTTTCCCCATTCATAGGTGAAACTTTTTTTGGTTGTATTTAACCTAGAGGCCTGGTGCACGAAATTTGTGCACAGGAGGAGGTGTCCCTCAGCCCGGCCTGCACCCTCTCCAATCCGGGACTTCCCACTTGCAATCCAGGACCGTTGACTCCTAACTGCTTGCCTGCCAGCCTGATCCCTAATTGCTCTCCCCTGCCTGCCTGATCCCCCTAACTGCTCTCCCCTGCTGACCTGACCCCCCTAACTGCTCTCCCCTGCCAGCCTGATCACCCTGACTGCCTTCCCCTGCTGGCCTGATTGCCCTAACTGCTCTCCCCTGCTGGCCTGCTCACCCCTAACTTCTCTCCCCTGCCAGCCGGATTGCACCTAACCACCTCTGCCTTGGCCTCTGCCATCGTGGCTTTGTCTGGAAGGATATCTGGAAGATGTCCGGTCTATCTGGTCTAATTAGCATACTGACCTTTTATTAGTATAGATAGCACTTATTTAGTTTTCATTTTATATTTTATTTTTTATTAAACCTGCTCTCCCCTGCTGCCTGATCACCCCTGACCGCCTCTGCCTTGGCCCCGCCACCATGGCTTTATCTGGAAGGACCTCTGGTCTAATTAGCATATTACCCTTTATTAGTATAGATAGAGACCTGGTGCATGGGTGAGGGCTGGCTGGTCTGCCCTGAAGGGGGCCCCGGATCAGGTTGGGCGTCCCCTTGGGGGGCAGGGCTGGCCTGGCAAGGAGCCTGGAGCACTTTACAGGCCAGCCACACCTCCAATTGGGGGTGGGGGTCCCCGCTGGGGTGCAGGGCCAGCCTGGGCGAGGGGCTGACAGGGGGTTGCAGGCCGGCCACATCCCCATCAGGGTGGAGGTCCCTGCTGGGGATGGTGCTGGCCTGGGCGAGGGGCTGGGGTGGTTTGCAGGCTGGCCACACCCCTGATCAGGGTAAGGATCCTCTCTGGGGGCGGGGCAGGCCTGGATGAGCCTGGGCGAGGGGCTGATGGCCACTTGCAGCCTGGCGAGGCCCCTGATTTGTCAGGATGGACATCCAGAATATGTCCGGTCTAATTAGCATATTACCCTTTTATTAGTATAGATATTCCTGATTAATAGTACTCTTTCATGTGTTTACTGGCCATTTTTCTTTTGTGATTTATTTTTGCAATTTTGAAAGAAGATTGTCTTTATTTTTATTCCTCTGAAGGTTTTATTTTTATGTATTTTGAATATTAGCTCTTTGTCAAAGGTATTATAAATATTTTCTTCTAACTTATCATTTGTCTTTTACTTCACTTGTTAATTCACTTAATTTCTTTGAGCCTTAGTTTCATCATTTGCAAGATGGGGAATATGGTAGGAGGATTTAATGATGTACTTGAAAGCATTGTTTTCTTGTGGGCTTGTTGTGATGTTGTTTGGGAGTTCTCTGGTGCTCCGTACCCTTGTCTTGAGAACCAAGGAGCTCTATTTAGCTTGATGACACTAAAAAAGGTCACAGTTTGTGATATAAGAGGTGAACCTCATGAATTATCGCATGATCATCATTGGTTTGTGACTGGATTTTACCAAACCCAGCCACGACTATTCTTCCCCTAGACATCAGGGCTACAAGAAGAATGTATACCCGAGGAGCTTAACTTTTTTATACTCTTCCAACTAGAAACAAATATACTTAAAGGCTAATAATGGTGGTTATGTCTGTGGTGCAATTACGGTTTTAATTTTCTTATGTTTTATAATATTTTCAGGAGTAATTAAAATGAACAAGCAGTTTCTTATACTTGGAAGAATTAGAAAAAGCTATTGTCACAGAGGTGTCATACTTCAAGCCTGGAGAGGTTCAAATATATTAATGTTGATGGAAAAGGACCCTTCTTTCTCTCCTTTAACGGTTTCTCCTTTTTCCCCTTAGGATTAAAGAGTTGCATTTGAATTTATGGTCACTCATTGGCAGAGAATATAGAAATTATAGTGTATTTCATTTTTTTTCTGGTGTTGTGTGTACCTTTTTCATTAATTTTAAAAGTTTATTCATAGGATATTCCTAGAGTAAAATTTATGAAGCTTATAAATAAATATCCATTTAGGAGACAGTGTTAATACATTCATTACAGTAGCATTTATTAATCTGTTGTGTAAAAGGTTCTTTGGGATGCTAAGAGATAAATAAGTCATTACCTCATTCCTCTGCAGCCCTAGTTAGGACATAGCCATTAAACAGTTAATACGAGCAAGGCATGAAACTGAGTTATAAACTGAGTAGAAGTGTTAGATGAAAGAACAAGAAAGAGAGATTTGAGTTAAAAAAATTTAAGGATAAGAATTGTAGTAGGTGGAAAGTGACATTCTAGGTGGAGAGGATCATTTTGGCAAAGACACAGGCTTACCGTATTTGCCGGCGTATAAGACGATTTTTTGGCCCTGAAAAATATGCCTCCAAGTGGGGGGTCGTCTTATACGCCAGGTACACTTCAGATAGACTGCCCATAGTGCTTGCCCCGTGCCATAGTGGCCTCCCGCTGCCCGCCCACTTCATTCCACATACCGTTCAGGCATCAGCAGCGCTGCTGGGTGTATGCTCGGCTGTTATGCGATTTTGCGAGTGTGGTAAATTCGGGTTACCGTATATTTCTTTACATATGCATTGAAGATTCGCGATTTTGCGCTATCATGGTGCCTGTTAGAATGTTGAAGAGCTCGCACTTGCGCACTAGTGAGGTCCCAGGGAGATGCTGATGCAAGGGTGGACCAGACTGCTATAGTGACAGGGCGGGCAAACAGGGAGCAGGGCCCAATCAAATCAGGCTTTGTATACAGCCAACAGCCAACCACAATACTGCCCCATTGTACAGTACAGCATAGAAAATGTCGCCCAGTCAAACCCCTATCATCCCTATCATGGCACCTAGATGTCGTTGATGAACTTTTAATATCAGATGATGAAGAGGAGTTTGAAGGCTTTTAAGGTGAAACTGTCACGCCAGCAAACTTGCTAGGGACTTGCCCGGCACTTGCTCTCTCCCTCTATTTGTTATCTTACTTCTATCATTGACAGTCCCTCTAGGTTGTGGGCTGCTTGCCTGTGTTCCTGAGAAGCATCTACGGTACCAGTCTATAGAGTGTGTTTTCTTTAGTGAATTACCGGTATGTTTACCGGTAATAAACTTGCACTGTTTTATGTATATGTTTGATTACATACAGCCTTGTGACAGTTTTCCTGCATGTCATAAGCATTTGAATATAAATTAAAATGTTAAAATCAAATCTGATATTGTTTTACCTTTTATTTGGTGTGTGGAAGGTGTGCGGAAGAGGGGGTAGTCTTATACGGCGAGTATATAACAAACTCTGTATTTTGAGTGGAAATGTTAGGGGGTCGTCTTATACTCCCAGTCGTCTTATACGCCGGCAAATACAGTATATCAATGCATGACAGAGTTGAGTAATACAGAAGAAACTGACATGGCTGCTTTGTTCATGGAGAGATGAAATATGAAAGATGAAGTGCCTCTAAGATGTTGACTTGTTCAGCATTGCAGCTGACAGAATTAACTTTCGTGGGTATTTAGATTTAGAGTAAATAATCCCTTGAGACTATGTGCTTATGGAAGTTTCTGTATTATAAAATAAGGATATAAATGCCTTGGTTAAAGGATTATTGAATTAGTGTTTTGAAATACACCCATTTTTTAAAAAAATTCATGAGTATGTTAATGTAAGTTTCTGGAAACTCCTTTTAGCAGCACTGAGACCTGGAGTCAGCCCTGAGAATTTACTGGGTCAGGGGCCTCCTCAGCAGCCTCCGCAGCAAAACAGAGTCCTTCAGCAACTACAGCAGGGAGACTGGAGACTGCAGCAACTTCATTTACAGCCTCGCCATCCTCAGCAGCAGCAGCAGCAGCAGCAGCAGCAGGAAGCTTATATGCAGCAGGTAGTTCCTTTGTTACTAGACGTGAAAGTAGTGTTGGGAAATGCATGCAGCTTTGAATATCAGTGAATTCCTTTTCTTATCATGGGCACCTTGAACTCTAGATCCAGGTAAACATTTTGCTTAATTTTCTGACTACTAAGGTATATGTATTTTATTTGCATTCATGAACTACTTAAGAATACTCTATTGAAATAGTTGCATCATGGCTTTATAAGGCAAAGAATATCTAGTCATTTGGCATCATGAATAAACACTGCAGTCTATGATAAATATTTTTTTAGTTATATTTTGAGTTCAGATACGTAAACTATACGTTATTGCTGTAAAGGTGATATTAAGCTTAGAGAAGTAACATTGTCATAAGGTTTTGTTTTGG